CGTTTATATATAAATGAAAGTTAGAATGCAAAATCATTTTTGTAATATCTAAAGTTCATATTATGTATCTGATTTAAGAGTTCATCAGAAGGGTTTAGGTCTCCTCCTTAAAATGAAGTTGGACACTTTGACTTGCTGCTCATTATATTACAAGACCAACTTTAGACAATATTTCATTTGAATAAGTTAATTGGGTAATTCAACCCATTATTTAATAGAAGCCGTTTTCACAGTAAGAAAGTACCGAGTAGGATTAAATTAATTTTACCTTGGCATTATTTGGAGCAATTAATAGAAGGAAAGAGAAAAAAAAAGTAGTTTTTGTCATATAATGAAAAAGAATTATTTTGCACACGCACACAAAGAGAAAAAGAAATTATGCGCAACAGCACATGCTTGACCTAAGTTTTTGTGCTCTCGCAACCCCTCCCCCCACCTCCACCCCGGCCAAAAATTAAGAAAAACCAACATGCTTATGCTGAGGAACAAATTAAATACTCGTAAACATTGTTAAATTTGCATGGTCTCTCAGTGGTTACCTGAGGTTGATAGATTGGGATTGATATGATGGTCTAATAATGTTGGGTGCTATTATAAATCATGACCTGTGTTTTGGGTTAATTTTGGTGGCTTGAATTTGGTTATTCTTGGATCTTCTGTGGAGGCTTTTGTAGGAATCGCAAGACTAGGTTTAACTAGCTAGCCTGTATTTTGTATCATGCATGATACTTAATAAAACTATTGGCTTCCAGAAAAACAAAACCATGATCACTTGTGTCAGTGCTATACAAAGTTAATTATATAGTTGTCAAGCAAAATTAATTAGATTGTGAACTAATCAAGGCCTTAAGGCAAGGACAAAGATTGAGCAGAGAGATCCAAAATGCTGTAATGAAAAGAAAAAATAAAGGGGTAAGAGGGTTCCACAAGAGAATGATGAAAGAATTGAACATACTCGAGAATAAGATTGGGTGACCCACTTCTCCATTTTTTCTGCCAAAAAAAAAAAAAACAGTGGCTTTGGCACTCTTTGCATTTGACTTCAAGGTCATCTCTCTCTCTCCTCGTCGGATAGGTCCTTTATTTTTCAATCCACATTATAACAAATATATTTCTCATATCCCTAAGTGGAGAACAAAATTATGAGGGTTTGAAGGTGAGTGAACTTGGCATGTGAAACGATCTCTCTAAGTCAAGACTTTACTTGGACTTATTAATCTCTCCTTAAGCTGAACGTTTTCCTCACTCTCCATTAAGAGAGATGTGCCACACCTGCTTGTCTTCCGCTGCTGTTTTCATCAAGTAACCTTTCTAATTTTTGGAATGTAATAATAAGAGTCCAATTCTAACTTTGCTTTGAAGGCCTGTGGGGAAATGGCAAGTGGTTATCTACAGTTTGTATCTGATAGACAGACAAAATTCAGCTTCTCTGATTCTTATCAGTGAAATGACGTGAATTACTTGTTCCTCCTGAAAAGAATCTTATGTTTTTCATTTGCACTAGTTACCATTCATTCTGCTGATCAGTTGGTCAATTGGGTATCAGTACTGAACCCTCAAAATTCTCAAGAGGGTCGACTCTCTGATGCTGTATACTTTAATTTCTTTTGTTCTTCTGGTTCTGGTGCCTTAATCTTGCTGCTAGTCATTACAGGGTTAACATCAACGTCCATGAAAGAAACGAATAAAGCCTGGAAATTTGCTTCAATGATCGATTTTAGTCGTAGTGAAGTCATTGTGTCTTTGATCTTTATATAGAAAACTGACGGGGGAAAAAGGCAAAGAAAACAAAATTTTACAGCGGGTAAATGGGCCACAATTTTGTTGTTTATCATGAAAACACACAAAATTAACCAAGCTTTAAGGGAAAAAAAATTTAGAAAGTTAATGAAAGAAGATAAATGAGGGTGGGGGGGGGGGAAGAGACACCCATGTGATCCCAAAAATATTTCAATAATCACATATTTGAAAGCTTTTAATGGTGGGTGAGGTGAATCTTTGTTGACCAAAGAGATTTTAACAAGATATAGCAAAGAGGATTTCAAAAGGGGAAGGGGTCCCATACATTATCATTACATGTCATGTTCTCTCATTTGGTTTTTGTTTTTTTAAAATGAAAAGAAAAAAAAAAACTACAAGCAAAGATGCTTTAACGTGAAGATACGTTTGGGAGGGCACCGCCACTTATTTTGAGAGTATGTGACTGACGAGGTAAGAATAGACAACCTAATGATTTAGACCTTCTAAAGGAATAAGAAAAAAGGTACTCCATGAGGTTAAGTAAAGGGCTATTATTGAGTTTTTGGGAACTTGCCTTGTAATTACTAATTCCATTTAAAAAAAAAAAAGGAGATAAAACCCCCACTCCCTCTTTAATGATGATATAGTTGGTAACAATGGCATATTAGTGCTTCAAAAATATGGTTCTTGCTCTTTACACTTAAAAATTAGTAATTTGTTCCAGACTAAATATACACAAAACTAAACTTGTCTGCTTAAATTAGGATATCAACTATGATATGTAATGTGGGTTTTTCTTTATAAATGGATTTTAGTTAGAATCTTGTAGAAAAGGTATGAAGGTGAGATAGAAGCTTAGTGTTTTAACTTTTCTTCTAAAAAAGATATAGTTCCAAAATCTTCTCCCTTATCTATCCTAAGAATTCTCCCTGTCCCTATGAGATATGTGTGTGCAATATATTTGAGCTTAGTTTCAACTCCTTAACTACAAGACTTGAGGGTTGTAAGGAGCCTTTCTCTCTCGGATTGAGGTCAAAGAGATGTGGGTAAATGTTAATAGAACTAGTACTTAATAAACAATAAAGGGGATGGTTTAGAATCAGAACCTTAAATAGAATTCTTTTGAACAAATCACGATTTACATAAAGAGGGATACCTTGTTAATACCAGTTCCACTCATCATGTGGTTAGGTTAGATTATGGATATATATGTTTTTTTAAGAGTAAAATAGTGCCAGCTCTTGATTTTACTAACATTATGTAACACAATTTTAGCAAACATAAATTATTGAATTCTGATAAGTTGCTGTAGCCCCTAGCTTACAGCTTCTTTGGAGCTTTGGAGGAACGAATACCTAGTTAAATGTTTGTTCCTTTAGAAACCCATTTGACCAATTAGACGATTAAGTAATTCTCTAGAGCTTACCTTTTTTTCTCCCCTTTTCTCAATAATTAAAAATATTAATGACCAGAAAGTTTTAGACCAAACTAGAAACTCAAATGCTTGTTAATGCTCCTCTTTTTCTTTTTCCCCTAATGAATGCAAAGGTTTGGTAGTCAGATTGGCCCTTGGAGGAACATTATTTTATTAACTAGGGCACTAGATAGGAGCACAAACTTCTGTTTCTACCCTCCCATTTTTAGCACCTATCTAGACAAAGGGCATCTAGTATTTCTCACACCAAGCTGCTACTTGGGTTTGGGATAATGTTGTTTTCTTTGTTTTTTTCCCGACCAAGATTCTCTCTTGAATTTTAGTTTTAGTTAATGTCATACTAGATATATTTTTTTGTCAAGGAAGGGAAGGAAATGCAACATCAGTGTCCTCGATCTATAGTAAGAATGAGAACTCTGGACATTCCTCGAAATTTAGACAAAATCGAATTTCGTGTCAAGTTAAGTTACTTGCACTCACTCAGTAGCTCTTAGATCTACATCGTCTTTGTTTCCAATATTTTTATGTTTCTGTTTGTGGGAGTGGAGAGGCACTCATGCATTACTTACCGTATGCTGAAGCAAAGGACTTTTAGCATGGAAATCCTCTGGGAATCCAACCTCCCTAAGCAAAACTCAAAACCATCATCATTTTGTTTTAGAAGATTGGAATGGGTTTTGTTTGTTGGATACTTGTCTATACTCTAAAATCCCTAGTCTACGTCTTAATCATCAATTTGCATTCCCTCCCTACTTTTCCTACTTTTTTGTTTTGGCCCAAAGCTTTCAAAGCTTGTAATTACAAGCCGATCCTGTTGTTGGTCTCTAAAGAGTGACAATTTGACGACAACCCTCTGTGAATCATCATTTTCTTCCTTTGTGGCCCTATGCCCCTTACCAGTTACCACCCAGTTGAGTTGTTCTCCATTTGCCTTAATTTCCAAGAGTTGGAATTTAGATAACAAGTAAGGAGATTTACAAAAATTCTCTCTCTCTTTTTTGTTTAAAAAAAAAAAATTAGGTGAAACATGACATAGGATGGTAGAAGAAATCTTTGAATCAAGACATTATAACATACTAGTAAATAATCAAATCAAAGTTACTTTTGCTTATGACACGGGGGCCACAGGCTCATGCCATGATAATGGTTATTATTATGGTTGTTTAAACGTTTATCCCCTTTTCCCTTAGGCAATATGTATATATTACTTGTATATTTTATGTCATTTGATGTAAAAGGGAATAGAAATGATTATTGACGTACAAACCATCACAATTAACAGCAACAGGTGGGTGACAATTCTAACCCAAGAATTACTTTCCATTGCTTCTGTTTTACCCCTTTTTTGTATTATTCAGACAATGAAAATAATGAAATTAGAAAAAACACAAAATCCCAACAAAAAAGACAATCGAAAAGTGAGTCAGTCTATTTCTGAGAAATTAAAACATTTTTAATAATAAAATGCAAACAGTGGAAAGAGGGCAGTTTTTGTTTTGAACACCTTATATCGTCCTGTGGTGGTAAACCACTCGTGTCCCCAGTCCATCAGGAATCGGATGATCCAGTTTTAAAGGAGACTGTCGGCCCAGACTACCTAGCAGAAATGAATCTGATTCTTAGTAACAGCGTCTTTGATTCCCTGGATGTGGGCAGAGAAAAAGAAAGTGACCACCCTTGGTTGGACCTGCAGATATTTCTAAATGCATCATTTTTCTCTTCTTCACATGTATTTTGCTGTGTTCAGCCTTCCTGCTTTATCAGTTTTCATGGCTAATCGAATTTGTCACTGAACTTTGGGACAAGCAGTGACATGAACCAGAAATGTCGGCAATATATCTTTTTTATTGTAAAATGTCAGAAAAATAATGGCTTAAAAGTTTAGACCTTTTCAGGAGGAAGAGATCAGTTGACAGAAACAACAGTGTGAAAATCCAAGTCGAGTCTACAATATCCTGGCCCAACAAAAACTGTAAACGCCATATATCTCATCAGCTATCCGAAATCCACAAAATTCTTGAAGATCCCGTCTACTAGTATATGTTACAATTTCTCTTTCTGACAAGTCTATTCTGTAATGCTACAGAGAAATTCCTTTGCATTCTTCAATTGAATGAATTTCAAAACTCTATTCTTAAATCCCATACAACTCACTTAGTAAATGATAAATTAGGAGGAGAATATGAGAAGTATGCTTAAGGGAAATAATCCCACCTTCAATTTCAAAAGGCATTTGTGCAAGTTCTTGATTTCAGTCCAAGTGGTTGCGGAAACGGATAACTTTGTTGATAAAAGGCCTCTCACGTCGATAACTATTCATGAAGATAGAAATCATGTGTTAATCAAGAAGTTTTCTGAATCAAAACATTAGAAATGACCTACATGCATGCATGAATAAAGTATAAACCAATAATACATTGATAAAAATGTAATTTTAAGTAGTTTAGAGAACTTGAAGCACAGGAATATACTTACATGACAAAGGCTGAGATGCAGAAGAACGTGAATCCAATGGAAAAATGAATCAAGAAGGATGGCCAAAAATTTTTACGGTCCAGAAATACCTTTTCAGAAATGAGAGTAGTTACACCAGATAACAACAGCATTGGCCAACCTGAAGGCAAACAGCTGTAGAAAGAAAATGAAGAAGACTCCTGCACAGAAGAAGGAAATGAGATCCAGCTTAAAGTTGAAAACTAGAAGTTAGCACCAAACATGATAAATTTACACAATCAAAAACATACCTGGAAAAAATGTTTGATGAAAACTGCAGAGTAAACAATCCTCAAAATCATATCTGTTTAATTGTCAAGTAAGCAGAAGGCAATACTTTTAAACTAAGACGATCCCTTTTTAGCTAAAAATGGACATATTTGGGAATCGAGGAGGTTTATGAGGATGTCTCTTAAAAGGTCAGGCAGCTACACATCTAACAAAAAGGCAGCAAAGCAAGTATGCATAAGCCAATATCAGCAATTGCTGAAAAGATAACTACACCATATAACCTTTTTTTCTCCTTGACAGTAATGCTATGGAACTACTACAATTTTCAAGTGATAATCACATCCAGATGTGTGGCCACATGGGTACGGAGTTTCCCAAATCTTGAAATGCCACCATACAGACATAATTTTGGTAGCAATCCAGAGTTCTTACACAGATAGCATGACAGACGGAAGCGTTCTAGGCAGGCTGAACTGCATGTGTCAGAAGAAACTTGAACAAGGATGCGCAACTTTAGCATAAACACAATACATTCGTCACTTTCTTATTATATGTCCAATGCCTATATGTTCAATGCAGTAAGCGAGCTCAACAGCAGTACTTTTTCAAACTATTGAAATGTTTCTGTGGCACCTAGTTGATTCACTAAAAGCAAAAGTTCATGGCTAGGAAAAAAAAGCCTCAATATGATAAGGATACTCAAAGAATTCGCAAGAATCAAACCAACAGCACCAGCAGACCGTATTAGTAGGTAATTTAATGCTACATATATCACTGAAAATACAAGTAATGAATCATTTGAGCGTTTGAGTTGGTTCTCTGTTGCAACTGCATGAAGAAATGCTTCAGAAGTCCCTGATACAAAACCAAATATAAGAATAACTGCATCAACAACTCAAGTAGAAGCAAGAAATATATCCATAATGTCACTGCCAAGCATATAATCTCCATCCAGTCAAATCAGATATGTTGTCCAATATAATGCTGATAACAGGAAGTAAACAATCCAGATTTCTGCCACTTCAGCATTGATATCATAGCACCTTTTGCAAATATAGCAGGTTTCGAGAAAACAAGTAAAAGAGTAAGAATAAGACTAAGCCGCCCAAGTTCAATATAACACTCAACTCGAGGATAATGTTTAGGCAGCCACAGCTATAACTAACAAGCATGATAACCTAAATTTACTAACCGTTCATAGCCAAAACAATGATATAGAGACAATAATAATGAAGGGCCACTGAAGCTTCTCCATCACTCCATTTCTGACCATACAACAGTCTGATGAGAGAATAGGAGTAACTTGGGCCAAATGCCACAAATATGAGACCTACAAAAAAGGTAGAAAAATGAGGAAAAAAATATAAAGAGAGCATTATTTTGTTTTAAAAAAATGATCTTCAGGCAACAACGGCTGCTGAGGGCATCTGAAACTCAAAAGGAATGAAGCAGGTTGTGTTTTGACATGAAGTTGTACTAGCATATGATTACCAAAATAAATATTGGCATAGAATAAATTTGTTCATTATGGTTCCTATTTACTAATATATCAACACTAAAACTAAGCAAGCATTGAAGATTGGCCAGCAGAAATCACAATTTCCATTTCCAAAGCTAGGATTTTACTATTTTAAGTCCCAAAATTATGATATTATTGATAAATTACTTCCAGAACCAATTGAGAACTTCATTATATTACAATGTTGTTGGCAATGCCATGAAAATCTATCCTACGAAAAGAAGACAAATATAAAAAATTACAAAAGGAAAAACTCAATGAATTACGAAAGGCGAATTAAGAACGTACCGATTAGTAAAACAAGCTTCAAGGCCTCAGTAAGGCTTTCTCCTATCTTCTTGCTTTTATGTGGAGACTGTCCTGTCAAGAGACACACATTTAAGAAAATAAGTGTTTGAGTATATAAACTTTCAAAGGCAACTAACTAATAAAATCTAGCATTTAGAAAGTGAAGTCTTCTTGGAAGCATGAAGTAGCTTACTTAAAGGAAAAAAAAATGGAGTTGTGTGTACATAAAACTTTTTCAACATCAACAATAAACACATAAAAGATAACCAACAAGTTTAGGCCTTAAAGTGCAACAGATAGAAATGAATGAATCATCACTGGGAAGGTAGACTAATAGGTAAGGGAAGAATCAACATTGAGTGCTAGCTTGGTGCCAACGCCCACGAAACAACTTCCATCAAATAGTTGGAGTTTGGACCAGTAGCATAAGAAGTGATTCAAATATCAACTATAGTATTCATTTTATGCATAATATTTAGATAAACCACCAAGCCACATGAAAGAATATAAGTTATCAGCATTCTGAATCTGTATGTGCCAGCGGCAATTAAATTAACCAAACTCCCAAACACAAGCAAACATATTCATTGTAAAAATGATAAATAAATAGAATTTTTCTCATATTTAATGGACATTGGAGAGTTCTTCTTTCTTTTCCTCTTCCTCCTAACATCTACCCATTCTCTCTCGCTTTTCCCCCAAAAGAAAGTGCTTATTTAACTGAAGCACATCCTATAGCAAGCTGAAGCACAACCATTTACTTGATGTAAAACAAAAATAGGAGCATGACTCTAAGAGTTGAACCAGCATATAGACAAAGCAACTAGTCAAAATATTAAAGTTAGCCCGTCATCTGATCTAAAAAGCCAAGTTGGACAGGCTAATTCATTTATTGACGATGGAATAGTAATTATCTAACAGAATGAGTATATATTGTTAAGTGCAATATTAGAATCTAAAAACAAAAAGAAATGTAAGACATACATGCCATAGACTGAATTAAGGAAAAAGGAGAGTAATAAAACCTGAAGCAGACCTGGCAAATGTAGCATATGAACTTTCTTCAAAAGGAAGAAACACCAACCTGACCACCAAGCTCCCTAAATTCAACAAAATCGATGGTTTAGATTTGCTCTCTTACAAAAAGCATGTGAAATTAATCACATTTTCTTAACTGTAGTACCAAAGATGAGAATAATTGCATTGTATAAACTAAAACAGTCTAGTGACAGAAACCTGCTAGCTAAAATTTTGTAAAGCATAAAAAAATTGGATGATTATTCACCTAGTTTATCTACGAGTCCATATACAGCTTGGTTATAAGGTGTATCAAGCCATACAAGGACCATCTTTTCTCCTTCTTGAAGAACCAACTTTTGAAGGGATTGAAGAGTAAACAACGTACACATTTTTCGGAGCTGCTTATCAAAATCCAGGATATGTCCTAGCCTGCAAAAGTTGCGTTTTATTTATAGATAATCTGGACAAAAGTACTTAAATACAGCGCAAGTAGTTACTAAATAATTAAGAAATAATATGTCTTACTTATCCCCAAAAAAAAGAATAGCGAAGAAAATAAATGTGCACCGTAACCATAAACTGAAAGCAAATAAAAAAAACATATGTAGGAAAAATCCAATGATTAATTATCTGTAAAGAATCATACAAACAGGGTTAAAGCCCAACATGTGGCTATGATTCTCAAGGTACTCAGATAAAGCAGTTATGATGACAGCTCTACGCTAGCATCACGATGTTAATTCATAAGAAGAAACCTAAATGTCCAACATGTCAATGTAGAAATTGACAAAAGTGGATGAGGATACTTATCTACCATCAATTCAAGCATTCTTTTATCCACAAATAAGGACAAGGAGGACTAACAATTCAAGCATATATATTACCACATAGATAATGAGGTCAAGCATTAAAGGCACCAGTACCTGAAAGGAAAAAGATCAAAACTTCTAAATGCACAAAGAAAATAACCCCAATAGCCCAGGAACAAGCAGGATCCATATGCTGCTTGAGACAATGCAAAGACAATTCCCTTCTCCTGTAAGAATCAGGTTCAAACATGTTCATGAAAATCTTAGGAAACAAGAACTCACAGCAAACCCACATAAAAAAAAAGGAAACTGACAAAGTTCTATCAGGACCATAAATAAGTTTTAGATGTTTATAAGACAAGCAGACAAAGATATGAGAAACAGAACAGGATGAATTAAAACATTGGTATTCAAACAAAAAAGTTCTTCTCGATGAAGTGCCCAATGCTCATGCTCAAAGGCCAAATGATCCACCATAAACCTCAGAAACACTCAACCTCAAGCATTACAATCAGAACCATTAACATTAGCTAGCTGCTGTCACTCCCTAGAACACTGATGCTTGGTAAAATTAGACAATAATAATGCAACAATATATTTAATCTAAGAAAATTAACTCAAGAATCATTAATGAAAGTATATGCAACCATTACACAGCACAAAACACACATTGCCAATAGGCAGATCAACATCATGTATATACTAAGACTGAAAAAATAATCCATTTAAAAGCTTTACCATGTTAGTGAGGTTCACAATTAGGATGTACATTGTTATGCAGCGTAAAAACGTAGCTGCAGTTTCAACAATTAACCGCAGTTTGAGTAGAAACAGTGTCTGAGAAAGGATATAAAGAGGTTCTGCCAAGAGCTCTGCTATACACGCATAACCTGCCAAAGAACAAAAAAATTAATCTAGCGAATGACATTGTCTTGAAAGGAATATCACCAAAAGTGAATGGAATAGTCAGCTGATCACAATTAAGTTGGTCTTGGCCGCAGACTCCAGATAGAAGTCCTTGGTTAATTAAAGCACGTAACACCCTGACTTTCATATGGATTTGGTCAAGAATATCGAGAAGCCTAATTTTAAAAAACAGAAAATCTTTTAACTTTACCAAACAAAATCCATGCAATGAGTCTATGTTTAAAGTCACTAAAAGTGAAATAGAAGTGACAAAATTGCAATACATCACGAGAGCCAACATTAATGAGCAGAAGGCTAATTTTGCGGTGGCTACATCTAAACATGCCAAACATGCAAAACTGAATGCCATCAACTAAATAAAATTGGCAATTAACAGTAATTTCAAAAGTAATTAACAAAGAAAACTGAAAAGCATGTCAAAAGGATTGGCAAATCTTTCATAATGAATAGCACTTTGAAAGACACAAGAATAGTAGAAAGTTTGGAAGCAGTTATAAGCAATACCATTAATCAAAATAGCCTGAGCATATGGATCAGAAAGATGTAGTCCTTGCCACCAGAAGACAAAGACACATGCCAGAATTGTGATAACCACTCCAAATGGGAAAGTCATCCAGGCCACTTTCAACAATGTTGCAGCATTGTCTTTTGTTGAAGCACCTTCACTGTAGCACATGACATGTGAAATCCGGTGGTAAACAAACAGCTAGAATACATAAAGCCAAAAGGTCCTCAACAAAAGTTTACACTATATAGATGGATGGGACCCAAGAGGCTAACTCTTCTGAACCAATATGTTGATGATGTATAAAATCCAGCTTATATTGACGATAAAGATGATCAAATTGCTCTCATATTATGAATTTTAAAAGCATTTTCACCCGTATTTTAATTAATCAAGTTTAGCTATGACTCTTAATTGATCCCTGTTTTCAAGATTACAAAGATTCATACAAATTACAAAAAAATGAAATTCAATATTTAACCAACAAATACAGAATCTACATTGGAGAACCAGTATGACCTTAATACGTTTTATATATCCATAACAAAAAGTCAACCACAGCAAAGCGAGACTAATAAAATCCCAAGTTACTGGCTACTAATGAAGCATTTTCAGGCAAGAAATAAAACCAACCAGCACTAATTATTAAAATGAAGCAAATAAATAGAAAATAATGTATAATGAAAAGGAGAGAATCACAATCTAATATCCGCCCGCATGCAGGCTCGCCGGAATCCCTCGCGACTCAGAAACAACACACATGTCACAAACAGATGGAATTGAACAGCATAAACCTACAAAAGAAGAGGGAGAAGATATCAATTTCTAACAAATTGAAAGTGAATTTTAAGAATCCAGAAATGAAGGCAAAGCATGGTAGCAGCTACCGCATAGTCCTCCTCGGTGAGGTGCCTCACTATCCAGGAATTGAATATGAACGGGATTCCTCTTGACAAGAACTGTGTAGCTATAACTCCCAAACCAATTCCAAAAAAAATAATAATAATAAAAAGAAGGATCAAATCAACAGAACTGACGAGTGACAAACTATAAATTAAAGTGGAGAGAGAATTAGAAAGAGAACTGACCCAATAAGTATTTGAAAGTGTGAGATAGATTTGTACGGTCAGAAGCTTCAGACATTTTAAAATCCGATCTTACTATTTTAGGTTTTCCTTTTTCAAAGAACTCAGTTAAGTAATCTTCAACCGGTTTGCGAAATCAAAGGCAATGCGATCGAATCCCTAACTGAGAACACAGAATTGGAACCAGAAATTCAAAACCCTTATATTTATCTCGGTCTGGTTAACTTCCTGGAGGAATATATTGTCCGCCCCGAAACAACCTTTTTGGCAAGAAAACGTTCATCCAATTCCCAGTTCCCAGCTCCCGCGAAATCAAACTGGCCCGATTCTTTAACTGCCTACGCTTCCAATTCTCCCAAGGTCCATTACTTCTTTCATTGACTTTAAACCTAAAAGGTTGACCCGGTGGCGAGTCAAATACTTAAAAAGGAACCCAGATTCACCAGGTTGATGGACACCCTAAGGTGAAGCGGACTGTGTAGGGCGCATTGGGCCGGTGCTGAAAATGTTGTAAATATTTTTAATGAACACAACAAACTGAAATTCTTATCCCAAAGAACACAACAAACAAATAGAATTTCTGCCTTAATCAAGAGTAAAGTTTGCTTTCTCTGGGAATAGATAAACGTCTCCTGAGAACAGAGACATGTCCTTACTTATAAACTACAGTTCCTTCCTTCACGAAACGAATTACTATTAAATAACTTCATATTTAAAAGCAAAATAAAATTTTAGTTAAAAGTTCAGATATATTAACTTTTCCATTTCGATGAACATAAGTTTCTAATTTAATTATCAATTAGATGACTTTTTTGAAGGTAAATGGGATAAATAGCTTTCGGTGTTAGGTTATTAACATGATGAGCTGATCTTAGAAATAAATATAGCAGGGCTCATTACAGCTTACAAGCAATGCCTTTCATGCACACCTCAGCATCACTATAGGACTCCAAAACCAGTTAATAGTTACTGGTCAATAACTTTTGGTAAACAAAGCCAAAAGTCAATTCTTGGCCTACGGATGCAATCATGCAAGGCACAAGCATTTACCACTTTAACAAACACTTGGAATTTGACAAAGCATTAGACAAACTTTGAAGGCATTTTTTAAGTGATGAAATATCTCACACGTTTAACGAGCACAGACCTCAATAGCCTCAACATAGACGATTTAGAGATGTCCAAACACAATAAAACTGTCCCAAGATTCTCAACCCTACAACAGAAATGAAGGTAAGACGGAAACAAAAACACCAAATATGGTCCAGAGGATCAACGGTAGCGGCGAAGAGAGAGTGTGTTGTTTCTCTTCCAGTTTGCCCTTCTTGAAGGTCGGGCCTTGTGGTGCAAGTGTCCCCTGCCACGAAGACCCCTGTATTTCTTGCCAGCAGAGGTGAGTCCACGAAGTTCCCTGTGCTTGTGCACTGAATTGCAGATCCAGTTGATTCTTGGGTCATTGCGAATGGCATTGTGGGCAGGATCAACCAATATGACCTCAAAGTATTTGTATGTTGAATCCTGCAGAGACAAACTCAGGACTTTTAACACACAAAACAAAACCAAGGAATCCTAGGGAAGAGTTGGGCATCAATTCCATGCGTAAAATAGATGTAATCTACACAAAAATGGAAGCTATACAATTGATTGGTGTCAATTCTTTTGCCATGAAAGAATGTCTGGTAACAATTACCAAATCAAATCTTTCTTCAAAAAAATAACAAAGATTTTAAAAAAATTGTGCTTGGCGGCAGAACTCACCTCATTGATCCAATATGAGTTAACAACCCTAAGGCCACCAAGCTTCCGACCAGCTCGTTCCTCTGCAACTGATCGTTTGCTGCGCTGGAATTTCAGTTGTGTGACACCCTGGTTTGTGGGTTTCCCATACACAATACCCTTAGGTACTGGTCTCTTCCTTCCACCACGTCTTACACGGACACGATAGACAACATAACCCTAGTGAAATGCAGAATTAGTCACTGGACATAACAAACGAGCAGAGAAATATTGACAGACACAAAAATATCCTCACTGCAGATATGATGCCAAATTACAACATTAACTATATGAAGGTAACCATGCCAGCTTACATATAGGGAAAAAGGATATAAGAAGAGAAATGAGGTATCAGCCATTAAGTTGGAAACATGATTTTCCTATTTACATCCAGAAGCAAAAAACATATAGGTGAAGTGAATTCAAGTGAAACAAGCAAAATATTGTCCTCACTTACAATCAACATCGAATTAGACACATTATAAGAGTAAAATTATTTATAAAGAAAATGCATAATCTAGAATTTCAGATACTAAGCAGGTTTTCAAATTTTTGGATATAGAAACTTTTCTTCCCGAAGTTTTCGTTTGAATTTCTTCTTATTCATCTTTTAAGTGGATAAACATTCCATAATGAGGCACCAGAAAACACAGAGTAAGGATAAAAGCAGGATGAGACTTGAGAGCAGTTCGTAACCATGTCGTACATTGAACTAACACAGGAGAATCAAGTGAAAGTTCTTATCAACAATACTGCTATGTAGTTTAGAGAACAAGAGATAATCATATAACTAAAATATGTTATAACTCTGATGAAACATAGATAATAAACCAAAAATTACAATATCAAAAACAAAAACCTCATAAAAAAGCAGAGGCAGAAACCAATTAAATAAGTTTACCTGCTTGGCTTTGTAACCCAAGCGACGAGCCTTGTCAGGGCGGGTTGGGTGGTTGACACGCACGATGGAAGGATGCTGACGGTACTCCCAGCACCTGACCCTCTGCAAGAACCTCATCACATCGGATTGCTTCTTCCTCCATAGCTCTGACACGTACTTGTAAGCCCCTAGTTTCACAAATCCCAACAAATAAAAATCATCACAAATCAGAATCCAAAATGCCGAAACAAAGATCGATCTATATAAATAACAAAGCAATTAAATACAACCCTTTTCATTTTAAGAGACCTCCAGTCAACTAAAAGCCCATTCTAATATTTAGCATCTTACTCTTGAATCATAAAATAATAATAAAAGCATAGCCGAGAGACTAACCAGCCAAAACCAAACCTCCAACAAGTTTCTAGATGTAATTAGAAAAAAATACAATCAATCAAGCCAAGAATAACCCATCACTCTACATAAACAAATAAACAAACCCGAGATTTACAACATGGTTTTAAACACAAGCAATATAGAAAATGAATAGACAATTAACTGTTAAATCATAATTAGATATGAAATGGCTAAGGAGAAATGGCGTACCCATCGCCGCTTGAGCTCCTGCGCTCTCTGGTTTCGGCTAAGGCGGGGCCAAACTTGAGATATATGAACCCGGAGCCTCATTAGGGTTTTAGAACGCATCCGTTGCTATGAATTGACAATTTTACCCTTTGATGGGTCCTTCAATTGGGCTGCTTGGTCTATCCCTAAAGCACCAAAACTGAAATGGGGTCCAGGTGAAGTCGATCCGACTCTGTTTTTATTCTGTATATGAGGCCTGACACAAAAGATAGGCCGAAAATCCATTGTTAGGCTTGAAATCCTTTGGGCCAACCCGATTTTCCCTTCATATCGGAACACAACTTAAAAAAAAAAAAGAAAGAATGAATACAGTTTAGATTTTTTTTAATACGCTCTTCTTCTGTTATATTTGTGTCTTATTAATTTTTTTTATAAAATAATTTCAACCTTGACCATTATTTTTTTTAAACAATGAAGTCATAATATTTTTTAAAATATAAATTTTGATTTTCAAAAAATTATATAATATTTTAAAAAATAATTATCAAAATTCAGTTCATTTGACCAAAAAAGTAAAATAGAGACAACAAAAACGAGGCAAAATGAGTATTTTTGTTTGAAGAAAAAGAAATCATATCCATTACTAAATTAAGAGTTCAAATACTGAATAAAGTTTAAATAATTTAATCCCGTGGAAGATAAGATTTTATTTGAATTTTCCCTGTATATAATTTTCAAATTCTCTTGATAAGAATAATTACTTATTTAGTGCAAGTTCTAAATTATTTCAGGACCCACTATTTTCTAAATAGTTTGATATATGTGCTATGCTTTTATTGACTAATATCAAACATTTCAATGTCCATGTAGATGAAGTGCTCTTATTCCTACAACTTAAACACTATCAAACAAAATGAATATGCTGAGAAGTAGTTAGTTTTATGTATAACTATGTTTGTAAACTTATGCCTTTATATATATATATATATATATATGTGAATTACTCAATTCTCCAATTTCTTCAAAGTGAGAAAAATAGATAAATAGACGGATAAAAAGAGATTGTAAAATACTAGTGAAACATTTAGAATGCATGGCAATCTTGAATTCCAATCTTCAAATTCTCCTCTTTTTACTAGAACCAGATATACTTTTTTGAATTAAAATAAACAAAAAAGAATTATTTAATTAATCAAAGGAACAATGAAGCAAGTTAATTAGGTTGGACAAAAAAAACCAAAAAATTTAAATGAAACCATTTGTTAGTTTAGTTAGTTTTTCATTCTCACAAAGACACCTTTTTTATTTAGCAATAATTACATTAAATGAAAGCATTGAAATCCTGATAAAAAAGAGAAAAAAAAAGGGTGAAGTCATTGATATGAGACTTTAATTCCTTCAAAATAATTTCATATAATACATTCTTAATTGTGATTTAATGAGCCAGAGGTGGAGTAAGAATGAGGAGGTGAAATGAAATGAAATGAAAGATTTAATTAAGAAATGGGGGTCCCTATGGAAACTTAGGATATCAAGGAAAGGAGAGCACTGCTGGTCCCCAAATCGAGAGCTCTTTTTTAATTAATAAAAAAGTTAATAAAATTATATAATAATAATTTTTAAAATTAATCAAAGTTAAAACTATTTTTTTAAAATTATTACATCATCAAATTGATAAAAGCATTAATGATTAATTAACCGATAGACTTAAGTATTCAATCAAAACATTTTTTAAAATGATGTGTTTATTTTAAAAAATTAATAAATTTTTATATAATTTTAATTAAAATTTAAGTGATGGGATATTTTATAAAAATAATGAAAGAGTGGAAAATTATAATATGGCAAAGTCGAAGGGTATTTACTATTTAGTGTGAAAGAACAAAGTGAAACGGAGGGCCCTCCAAGCACAAAAAGGAAAAGGTTGGTGTTTCGTATCTTATCCCAACTTTAAATTCGAAAGAAGCTAACCTCCTAAGCATCAACAGACCCAAAGAGCGGGTTGTCGAAGTTCTAGATACAGAAAACAACAGGTAGGTACGAAGAAAGAAAAAGAACCCCACAAAATCTATATTACTCTAGATTAACAATTGACAGAGAAGGTGGAACTATAACACAGCTTATGATGTTTGGTGGAGGTGGTGCAGGTGGTGCCAACATGTTGAGAACAGTTGGGAGTGCAGTTGCCAGGGCTGGTGTTGCCACTGGTAACCCTACAACTTTCCAAGAACCACTTCCTTCAGCTTCTTCGAACTCAAGTACAACTCCTTCTCCAACTTCTGCTTCCCAGAGGCATAACAATAGTAATAGTAGCACTTATCTTTCTATTTCTTCTGGGAGTTCCGCTTTTGGTTCTTGTAATACTGGTGTGCCTATCAGTGCCAATTCCGGGTTGCCAAGTAACTGGCCTCCCTTTGCTGCCTCACCTGCTTCCGCTGCTGCTTCTTGTTGTGATGAGTTTGAGTGGGTTTCTGTGGATGGGAGTGAAGGGGAAAGGCCACATGGAGTTCTTGATGATTTTGCTTTAGGACCTGTTCCATCTGTTGGTGAAGTCCAGAATGTTGTCTCCGCTTTTCAGAGGTAAGTTTTTCTCTTTATTTTTTTTTTCTTACCAAATTTATTTTGGTTTATTTTTTGGTAGTTTTTGTTTTTGTTTATTTATTGTTTGGATTTAATTTGTGGATTTCGGAAATGAATTTTGTGCCATTGCTGCAAATTGTAATGTCCTTAACAATCAGTAGTAATTATCTGTAACCACAAACTTGATTTCTAAGAATAATGGGTCAAAATTGATTTCTATTGTAATGTCCTTAACAGTCAGTAGTCATGTATATACTTTGCTGTTTCATCTTTATCTTTATCTTCAGCTACTGCACAAAAAAGGCTCAAATTCGTACACATGTTGAATGTGTTAACTGCTACAAACTCTAACTTGGCAGTCATTGTTGTGAAATGGCTTTTGTAATTATAGGGTTTTCGATGCAAGCTCATCTCCCCAGCTTATCAGGGATAAATTCTCTTATAATGCTGGCAAGGAAATAGCTTATCAAATTCCAAGCCCAACTGGCTCCATGCGCCGAGTTCATTCTGCTGGGTCTGAGTTAGAATGGAAGGAGCCTTCTCTGCAAGTCTATAACACAGGAGCATTGCAACC